GTACTATTGCTGGGATTTGTAGTCCTCTATAGTCGGTGCCATTCTGCATTCATTGCTGTATAATTTTACACTTTCCTTTTCACTATATTGCACACCACACAATTTTTTTTCTTTTTTACTTCCACCGCTCCAAACTTGCTCCTGTGATGGAGTGCAATCTCAATACAAGCTAGTAGTCCATCACTGGAGCCATTTTTTACATTTTATTTTATTATTTATCCGATTAACCGATTAATCGAACTTAATAATCGGCTAACTAATCGATTTTGAAAATAATCGTTAGCTGCAGCTCTACCATTAAGTGACGGCTATTTTCAACACGGAGAGGAAGTGGCGCCGCCTTCTGCTGCTTGCTTATTTGCTGCTTGCTTATTTGCATAGCTAAAGAGTATCAGCTAGTATAGAATATTATTATTTATTATCAGCAGCTGCTGCATTTTGAAGGTTCTATCTCCACAGTTGTCATAGTCATCCTTGCTTCACTATTGTGTTGCTGACCTGGAACAAGTTTGCAAGTCCCGACTTTTGACTTGACACTAACTGCATACTTTTGAGGTACTTTTGAGGACAACAATGTTGTCGAGATCCAAGTGATTTTTCACTTGTTTCACACTGCTTTTTTTTTTTTTGTCTTTTCTTCCTTGCTGCACAAACTGTTGGCGATATATAAATCCTGTATAATAATAATAATAATAATAATAATGTGCCCTCCTGCAGCAAAAACAGATCTGTCAACCCGGCTCCATTCTCTGTATCTAACAGATGCCGGGAGTGTACACTGCACTGCACATGCGCAGTTTAGTCATCTGCACTAGATGTAACCATACTGTTTCTGTACCCTTATATCAGAATATTTATATTACACATCTCTCTCTCCTCCCTTAATGTTATAAATGTAAAGTAATGCACTTCGGGGTTAAAAACAGGCAAGCGGATTACACAATAATAGGAACCCCACTAGGGAAGTCAGAAATGGAAATAGATTTGGGGGTCATTGTAGACCACAGATTGAATAATAGCTTGCAGTGCCAGGATGCGGTAAACAAAGCGAGCAGAGTACTGTCTTGTATTAACCTCTTGCCGTCCGCCCGTAGTAGAAAAACGGACGGATGGCACTGCTGCATTGGCGGGTTGCCGTCGCCAGACGCCATTTTTTTTCTGCTCGCGCACGCCCCCTAGCGGACACGCACGGGCAGAAAAGACCCGTCCAATGCGAGCACCCGGTACCGGGTGTTTCAATGTACTGTAGAGACAGAGCGATCATTTTGCCCCTTTTATAGATTGCTGGTTCGGCTTCATCTGGAGTATGCGGTCCAGTTTTGGTCACCAATCCACAGAAAAGACGTCCTTGAGCTGGAGAGAGTCCAGAGAAGGGCAACTAAACTAATTAAGGAGATGGAGGACCAAAGCTATGAGACAAGGTTACAAAATTAAAACATGTTCACGCTGGAAGTGCGGAGATTAAGGGGGGACATGATTTTCATGTACAAGATGTTCAATGGTGATAGCAACATCCGCAATAAACTTTTTAAAGTGACATTATAGTCAAGTTTCCCCCACCCCATGTTAATGTCAGCACTTACCTTAAATGATGTCTCTTATTCCGATCGTCTTTCCTGATGTTTTCATCTGTCCCTCCGATCCAGCGGTGTCTGCATGCGGGTGCACGCGTCCATACACTTACCTTGCGTCTCTGCTCGTCTCCCGGCCGAGAATCCGAACTGGGCATGCGCCCGCCCCAAGATGCTTTGTAGCCGCCCGAACAGTTTTGTTTTCTCAGGCGGGAGCGCGGAAAGAAAAAAAGTAAGTTTAAACCGCTGTTTTAGCGGGTTTTTTAAAAACTGTTTGCCTATATCTACTGCCTGATAGCAGTAGATATAGGCAAAAAAACGGGAGGGTTTAGAACCCCTTTAAGGTAAGCTCCATAACAAAGACTAGAGGCCACCACCTAAAATTGGTGGAGAAAAGATTTCAGCACAAGGGGCGCAGGGGGTTCTTCTCAGTTAGAGCGGTTAGGGTCTGGAACTCGCTGCCGCAAGCAGTGGTATCAGCTGAGAGTGTTGAATTGTTCAAAAGGCATTTGGACGATTTCCTCAGAGGCCGTAACATACAGGGGTACAGGTGCCCTTAAAGTGACAATTAAGTAAAAAAAAATTCACTCCCCCCAATGTTAATGTCAGCACTTACCTTAAATGATGTCTCTTAATCCGATCTTCCTCTTCTTTCCTGTCTTTTTCAGCCTTCTCTCCAGCGCTGCGGCGGGTCGCCGATCCAGCGCTGACTCCTCTGTGCTTGCTGGCACTTCCTGTTCCCTGGTGTCTGCATGCGGGTGCACGCGTCCATAGACTTACCTTGCGTCTCTCCTCGTCTCCTGCGCCGAAATTCCGTACTGCGCACGCGCCCCAAGATGCTTTGCGGGCGCCCGAGCAGTTTCGGATTTTCGGGCGGGAGCGCGGCGAAGACGGGGTAAGTTTAAACCGATGTTAAATCGTGTTTAAAAAAAACACTTTTTGCATATATCTATTGCTTGCTAGCGACGGTATGTGTTCGCTCATTTCCCGATCTATTGAACCGACGTGTGACAATTTCAGTTTTTTGTATGCAAAAAAAAACACGGAAGGTTTAGAAACCCTTTAAGAACAAGATCATACATGGACTCATACACACGCATACTTGATGCACCTGTGTCTTTATTCAACCTCGAATACTATGTAACTATGTATTTCGCGCTTTCTTATTTTGATCTGTCAGCCCCCTCGCTGTGCAGAAATAAGCCGTTTTGTAGAGTTCTTAGTGTTTGTAGACGTTGCATTTGATTTATATCTATTCTTCAGAAGAAATGAATGCAGGAAGGCCTTTCATATAAACAGATACATACAAATACAGAGGGCAGCACAAGCACTCACCATGTACAATCTTTCACAATGACATTACAAAGGAGTGGAGAGGAAGTGGGTTCATTAGACATTTTAATGCATTCCATCTTTATCAGAGAAAGGAGAAGAAGAAAAAAACTCGTAAGAGCAGTCCGTGTTTTATGAACATCTCCTCCCCTAGCGCTTCATTTGTATTTCAATCTTCAGGAAAAGATAAGCTTGTGTCACAATCCTCTCTTTATATCATACAAAGTCCGGTAGTTGTCTCTGTACAGTGCAGAACTATCGGGTTATCCAAACCGTTCTCATGATCGGACAGATGTCTATAGCTAGACATACACCGTATAATGTTCAACTATTTTCCTTTTCGGAATGTTCCTTCTATTTTATTATGTTAGTGGGATATAATTGACATTGTTTTCGGCCGTAGTAACAAAAATGGAAAAAATTTCCCATTTCCTATGTGAATGAAAACAATTCTAACTGGGAGTGAGGTTTTCATTCAGGTAAAATTGCGCATATGGAAATGAGCATGGTTTCGTCGCAAAAGAAACCTTTTAAAGAAAAACTCCCGGGCATTTTTTAAAAATCAAACCTTGCAGAGGGGCTCCCCCTGCACTGCAAGGGTTAACTGCTCGTTTTGGTCTAGGCTGAAAAAAATGAAGCTATGCTTACCTGATCTTCGGAGCCAGCTGGCTGATGGAACGTTCCTTCCAGCCTGTGTCCTCCTACGCTGCAGCAATACAATGCTCCTCAGCGTCCCCCACGTTCTATACACAGTAAGGCCTCATTCACACTAGAAAAGGCCGGCATGTACAGCTCCGTGCTGCGTGCAGGGCCATATCGGGCAGCTCCTGGGAAGGACAGGTGCTGGGTGTGATTAGTACGCAGCCCCCGTCCTTCTCTATGGGAATACGCGGCGCCCTACACCCCTGCACGTCCGTGCGTCCGTACTCGAACGCTGACAGGATGGATCCTGTCTGCGTCCAAGCCGGGCACCCGCACGGACGTGCAGGGCGGGTGAGTGTAGGACGGCGTACAGCCGCGTATTCCCATAGAGAAGGACGGGGGCTGCGTACTAATCACACGCCGCACCTTTCCTTCCCGGGAGCTGCCCGATACGGCCCTGCACGGAGCACGGAGCTGTATGTGCCGCCTGTTTCTTGTGTGAATTAGGCCTGAGGGGAATTTATCAAATGCGGAGCAAACTAAATCTGGAGCAGCTGTGCACCGCAACCAATCAGCTTCTCTCATTCATTTTAAGAACCGAACAAACTGAAGAAAGAAGCTGGTTGCCCTGGGTAACTGCTCCAGATTTTGTTGCTCCAGTTTTGATAATTCCCCAGCAGGGACCTTAGACTGCTGCAGCGGAGAGGGAGGGACTCGGAGGCTCCAAGGATCAGTCTTAAGAGCATGACGGCTCAAAGGATTGGGTGAGTATAACTTTTAGGGTTTTTTTTAATTTTCAGCCCTATACCAAAACAAGCAGTTAATACTTGCAGTACATGGGTATCCCCCCTGCAAGGGTTAATAAAATAAATTACCTGGAGCTCTTCCTTTTTTTAAAAATCAGTTTTTATTGAAGTTTTGAGTTCAGGGGTTATCAAACGCATCAGAATGTAGCTGGGTCTTACATAAATGGCAGGTGGAGCCCATAGTGGTGAACATAGTTGGAATTTGGGGGACCTAATCTAACAGCCAGTTGGCGTTCCCCTTGTGGCTAGCAGCGTAGCTATAGCAGCCCGGGTGGCTGCTATGGGGCCTGGGTGTGAAAGGGGCCCCCATTAGGTTGTTGAGGCAAATTAAACATAGAACCTGTGAAGATAAGACAGTCCTGTATCATTAGGGGTTGGAGTGGTTGCAATTGATGACCACTGTAATTCCCCTCAAAGTCTACAGTGTGGACGCCTTCAGATGCACAAGAGGAAACTTTGGTATCTTCGCATTGTAACTCACAGTCCAGACGAGAAGTGGCCGTGGGAAGGAGCCCACATTTTATTTTTGCTATGGGGCCCCCTGATCTGTAGTTACAGCCCTGCTAGTGGCACTGGTGCCTTGCTTTGTATATAAGGTTGTTGCAGACTAAAGTGTGTTTTCTGTGCTGACTCTCTGCTCTGTTTTCAGGATCTACTAAAACACACCCCCGAGGACCACCCAGACTACGTCTGCCTGCTGGACGCCCAGCGGATCATCAAACGACTGGCAGAAAGGATAAACCGGGGGATGAGGAGTGCCGAGGAGGCAGAGAGGGATACGCGAATACTGCAGGAGATTGAATCCCATATTGAGGGCATGGAGGACGTATGTAGTCTGGAATACTATAAACCTCTTTACTAGGCAATAGCAGGCCTGTGGCTTCAGACCATAAATGTAGACCTATCACTTGCATGTTATAAAGCTGGTCTGCTGCACTGATAGTGGACTCTATAGTGTATGCACTGCCCTCTATAGGCACCGCCGTCCATAGAACTCTCAGTTTGTGCTCTACCCTCTATAGGCACCTTCCATCCATAGAGCTCTCAGTATGTGCTCTACCATCTATATGCACTGCCGTCCATAGAGCTCTCAGTATGTGCTCTACCCTCTATAGGCACTGGCATCCATAGAGCTCTCAGTATGTGCTCTACCATCTATATGCACTGCCGTCCATAGAGCTCTCAGTATGTGCTCTACCCTCTATAGGCACTGGCATCCATAGAGCTCTCAGTATGTGCTCGTATGCGCTCTACCCTCCTATAGGCACTGCTGTCCATAGAGCTCTTCTACCCTGTATAGGCACTGTCGTCCATAGAGCTCTCAGTATGTGCTCTACCCTCTATAGGCAACTGCATCCATAGAGCTCTCAGTATGTGCTCTACCCTCTTTAGGCACTGCCATCCATAGAGCTCTCAGTATGCGCTCTACCCTACTATAGGCACTGCCATCCATAGAGCTCTCAGTATGCGCTCTACCCTCCTATAGGCACTGCTGTCCATAGAGCTCTCAGTATGCGCTCTACCCTCCTATAGGCACTGCTGTCCATAGAGCTCTCAGTATGCGCTCTACCCTCCTATAGGCACTGCTGTCCATAGAGCTCTCAGTATGCGCTCTACCCTCCTATAGGCACTGCTGTCCATAGAGCTCTCAGTATGCGCTCTACCCTCCTATAGGCACTGCTGTCCATAGAGCTCTCAGTATGCGCTCTACCCTCCTATAGGCACTGCTGTCCATAGAGCTCTCAGTATGCGCTCTACCCTCCTATAGGCACTGCTGTCCATAGAGCTCTCAGTATGCGCTCTACCCTCCTATAGGCACTGCTGTCCATAGAGCTCTCAGTATGCGCTCTACCCTCCTATAGGCACTGCTGTCCATAGAGCTCTCAGTATGCGCTCTACCCTCCTATAGGCACTGCTGTCCATAGAGCTCTCAGTATGCGCTCTACCCTCCTATAGGCACTGCTGTCCATAGAGCTCTCAGTATGCGCTCTACCCTCCTATAGGCACTGCTGTCCATAGAGCTCTCAGTATGCGCTCTACCCTCCTATAGGCACTGCTGTCCATAGAGCTCTCAGTATGCGCTCTACCCTCCTATAGGCACTGCTGTCCATAGAGCTCTCAGTATGCGCTCTACCCTCCTATAGGCACTGCTGTCCATAGAGCTCTCAGTATGCGCTCTACCCTCCTATAGGCACTGCTGTCCATAGAGCTCTCAGTATGCGCTCTACCCTCCTATAGGCACTGCTGTCCATAGAGCTCTCAGTATGCGCTCTACCCTCCTATAGGCACTGCTGTCCATAGAGCTCTCAGTATGCGCTCTACCCTCCTATAGGCACTGCTGTCCATAGAGCTCTCAGTATGCGCTCTACCCTCCTATAGGCACTGCTGTCCATAGAGCTCTCAGTATGCGCTCTACCCTCCTATAGGCACTGCTGTCCATAGAGCTCTCAGTATGCGCTCTACCCTCCTATAGGCACTGCTGTCCATAGAGCTCTCAGTATGCGCTCTACCCTCCTATAGGCACTGCTGTCCATAGAGCTCTCAGTATGCGCTCTACCCTCCTATAGGCACTGCTGTCCATAGAGCTCTCAGTATGCGCTCTACCCTCCTATAGGCACTGCTGTCCATAGAGCTCTCAGTATGCGCTCTACCCTCCTATAGGCACTGCTGTCCATAGAGCTCTCAGTATGCGCTCTACCCTCCTATAGGCACTGCTGTCCATAGAGCTCTCAGTATGCGCTCTACCCTCCTATAGGCACTGCTGTCCATAGAGCTCTCAGTATGCGCTCTACCCTCCTATAGGCACTGCTGTCCATAGAGCTCTCAGTATGCGCTCTACCCTCCTATAGGCACTGCTGTCCATAGAGCTCTCAGTATGCGCTCTACCCTCCTATAGGCACTGCTGTCCATAGAGCTCTCAGTATGCGCTCTACCCTCCTATAGGCACTGCTGTCCATAGAGCTCTCAGTATGCGCTCTACCCTCCTATAGGCACTGCTGTCCATAGAGCTCTCAGTATGCGCTCTACCCTCCTATAGGCACTGCTGTCCATAGAGCTCTCAGTATGCGCTCTACCCTCCTATAGGCACTGCTGTCCATAGAGCTCTCAGTATGCGCTCTACCCTCCTATAGGCACTGCTGTCCATAGAGCTCTCAGTATGCGCTCTACCCTCCTATAGGCACTGCTGTCCATAGAGCTCTCAGTATGCGCTCTACCCTCCTATAGGCACTGCTGTCCATAGAGCTCTCAGTATGCGCTCTACCCTCCTATAGGCACTGCTGTCCATAGAGCTCTCAGTATGCGCTCTACCCTCCTATAGGCACTGCTGTCCATAGAGCTCTCAGTATGCGCTCTACCCTCCTATAGGCACTGCTGTCCATAGAGCTCTCAGTATGCGCTCTACCCTCCTATAGGCACTGCTGTCCATAGAGCTCTCAGTATGCGCTCTACCCTCCTATAGGCACTGCTGTCCATAGAGCTCTCAGTATGCGCTCTACCCTCCTATAGGCACTGCTGTCCATAGAGCTCTCAGTATGCGCTCTACCCTCCTATAGGCACTGCTGTCCATAGAGCTCTCAGTATGCGCTCTACCCTCCTATAGGCACTGCTGTCCATAGAGCTCTCAGTATGCGCTCTACCCTCCTATAGGCACTGCTGTCCATAGAGCTCTCAGTATGCGCTCTACCCTCCTATAGGCACTGCTGTCCATAGAGCTCTCAGTATGCGCTCTACCCTCCTATAGGCACTGCTGTCCATAGAGCTCTCAGTATGCGCTCTACCCTCCTATAGGCACTGCTGTCCATAGAGCTCTCAGTATGCGCTCTACCCTCCTATAGGCACTGCTGTCCATAGAGCTCTCAGTATGCGCTCTACCCTCCTATAGGCACTGCTGTCCATAGAGCTCTCAGTATGCGCTCTACCCTCCTATAGGCACTGCTGTCCATAGAGCTCTCAGTATGCGCTCTACCCTCCTATAGGCACTGCTGTCCATAGAGCTCTCAGTATGCGCTCTACCCTCCTATAGGCACTGCTGTCCATAGAGCTCTCAGTATGCGCTCTACCCTCCTATAGGCACTGCTGTCCATAGAGCTCTCAGTATGCGCTCTACCCTCCTATAGGCACTGCTGTCCATAGAGCTCTCAGTATGCGCTCTACCCTCCTATAGGCACTGCTGTCCATAGAGCTCTCAGTATGCGCTCTACCCTCCTATAGGCACTGCTGTCCATAGAGCTCTCAGTATGCGCTCTACCCTCCTATAGGCACTGCTGTCCATAGAGCTCTCAGTATGCGCTCTACCCTCCTATAGGCACTGCTGTCCATAGAGCTCTCAGTATGTCCTCTACCATCTATAGGCACTGCCATCCATAGACCTCTCAGTATGTCCTCTACCATCTATAGGCACTGCTGTCCATAGAGCTCTCAGTGTCTGATCTACCCTCCTATAGGCACTGCCATCCATAGAACTCTGTTTGTGCTCTACCCTCCTATAGGCACTGTGGTAGTAATGGCACTATTCACATTTCTACAAATTTGGATTGTCTGTGTGGTCATGTGTCTGGGTGGTCGTGTGTATGGATGGCACACGGATCCTGGAGATGAGCTGCTAATGTTACATGTATGTTCTTCTCTCTGCAGCTCCAGGTTCCCTTCCGGAGGTTTGTGAGACAAGAGATTGTGGTGGAAGTGGTAAGTCCCACGGCTGGTACAGCTCCATAGATTTCGCTCACGGAGCGGGGGAGGGGGAAGGCGTTTTAATAATAAATGGCCCGAATGAAACATTCAGAAACCAAATGTTCAGTTTTAGGTCGGCACAGAAACCAAAATCCCTCATGTTTGGCATGTTAGTAACAACATTTTAGGTAAACTCCAGATATAAAAGACACACATGAATGCAGCTCTGTATTTAGTAATGCATCATTAAATGTATTTGTTTTAATTGCAGTCATTGCAAGTACAGAAAGTCAACCTGGTATTGGCCTCCTGCACTCCCTGTACAGCAGAGCTCAGACTGGGAGAGGGAAAAGCAGCACAAGGAGCCAGTTAGCCCTGCTGCAGTGCTTATGTGCTCACAAGAGAAATGCTGATAGGAAGGGAGAGCAGATTAATGAGCTCATCGGTCTTCTGCCTCTCTATTTGCTGCAGGCTGGAGAAAGGGCAAGACCTGTAAGTGTTACTTAACTGCAGCAGAGAGAAATCAGGCCTCCTGCTCTGCCAGACTGGACTGCTCTGTGTGACAGAGATGTGTAAATCTCAAGACTGGATGGGCAGAAATGCTGTGGGCAGAACAAGGGAACTCTCCAAAGGCAACACACACACACACACACGAGATCCTGTTCATTGATAACATGAGGACAGAGTGTGTTTACTATAACCACAATCATGAATGTGAGGATATAGTAACCATACTCTGCCCTCCATTATCTACAGACACTCAGCAATCACTGATCACTTTTACCCGCTCTCCATCCTGACACGCTGTCACAGGAGGCTGATCGATCGGCGCATCTGTTCTTTCTTTCCTCCCCGCTGGGCGCTGCTCTGTGTCCCAGCGGGGAGGAGAAAAACTGTGATAGCCGGCCGAGCACTGCGAGAGGAGAGTGCTGTGAGCGGCCGGCGTCTCTCCTCCCACACCGCTCAGTCTCCTATCACAGTCCGGGAGAGCGGTCTGTGGGCGGAGACCGGCCGCGCTGTCACAGGAGGCTGGGCTCTCCACACCGCTCTGACGGACTGTGAGCCGATGTATCAGCAGGAAAATGGCACTTTCGGCATTATGCCAAAAGTGCAATTTTCGGCAGATATATCGGTGCATCCCTAATATAATATATTTAGCAGGGGAAGGCTAGGACCCCTGTATGATTTTGTATTTCTCCCTCCATTTCATAAATGTGTATGTTTCTTAAAGTTGAACTCCAGGTAAAGAAATAAAAACTTACCTTTGCAGTGGGACTACCCCTCACCCCTCCCCCTCTGCAAGGGTTGAGTGCTCCTATTGTCTAGGGGAGGTTTATAAAGTTCTATAACTCACCTGATTCTCGGTCCTGCTGTGGCCGGCACTCACCCTCTTCCCTTCCATTACGGCTATAGAATGTCTCTTGACAGCCTCAAGTCTAATACAAGTCAACGGATCTGCATTAGACGTGATGATATCGGCGGTCCTTAGGCCCCTTTCACACGGGCTGATCAGGAGAGGATGCGTGCACGGATCCCCTTCTGATTGGAGCAGTATGGATCGGATGTCACTGCTGGGACACCCGTATCCGTCACGCTCTTGCGATGGAGGAAAGAACTGAAACTGCCAGACCCGATGTCGGTCTATGGGGAGTCGGATGTGAATGGGCATGTCTCCATGCCAGCATACATCCGATCTGGCGCAGTCAGGTCCGGGGCCGGCCGGGGGCGGGGAGTACCGTTTACTCCTGCCTGCCTCTAGAGAAGCATTGGTCATCCGATCTGGTCCGCTTGAAAAACTGACAGGCGGACCCAATTGGACCACCCATGATACTAAGGGGCTTTAGACCATCATTGAATCATGGATATGTGCTGGTCTGGAATGGGACCTCTGGGTTTCCAGGTCTGATGCGGATTGGCAGCAGATTTGGACCACTGCGGCTAAGTGTACCATCACTTGGTGCTGTTGTCAGAGGAGGAGAACTAGGGAAGATGTTGGCTGCTGGAGGTGCCTGGAACATAGAAGACCTCTGAAAAAAGTCTGGTGTCTCTCCTGCTAAGTATCTGTGCCCATCCCTGCTCAATCTCCGTTTTTTACTTTTAAATCTCCCGCCGGTTCCGCCCCCCTGCAACACGGAGGCTCGCAAGGGACGGAACCCGGAAGATGGATGCCAGCATCGGCCGGAGGACACAGCGCGGCTCGAGGAAGAATGTAAGAGACGCGCTGTGTGGCTCAGGGTTACCGCTTATGGCACAGAAAATTAACCCCGAGCCACACTCGGGAATACCGCTAAGGAGGTTAATGACAGGTGCCCTTTAATGCACTCATTATATAATTTTGCTGACCACCCGAAAAACGTCCAAGTACTGTAGTGCTCATGTGCCAAGAAGTGAGCCGATAGGAGGAGAGAGCAGTGTGACAGAGAGATGAGCTCATCAGTCTTCTGCTTCTCCATTCACTGTCCAGTCACAGACTGGGGGAGGGACAAGACCTGTAAGTATTATTTATCTGCAGCAGAGGAAAATCAGGTCTTCTGCCCAGCCATACAAGGCTGTGCTGTTTGTTTTGGTTTCTGGATGGACTTGATGGATGGGTTTTAGACCATCAAAACTCAGAGGGGAGAGATTGCGGGGACCGGTCTAGCAGCACGAAGGGAGCTGGTGGGAACCAGGATCAGTGATCAAAAAGCGTGAACAGCGCCCCCTGGACAGAATGAGCACTTAACCCTTGCAGTGTGAGGGCAACCCCGCTGCAAAGGGAAGTTTTTTTGTTTGCCAGGAGTTCTTTAATAAAAATGTGGATGTGCTTGTGCCCACAGCTAGTATAAGTACCTACAATTGTTTTGATATCAGCTCCCTATATCGTGCACAGTTGTACCTAGTGGGAGGGCCAGCGAGGCTCTGCAAAATGTTTGTGCTCTAAAAAGGAGAGCAGAGATGTGTACTTATCGGTGTTCTGCTGCTCCTTCGGCATCCAACCAATGGGCATAAAGATGACACCACTGCAATCATTACCTCCAGCAAATAAAGTGCTATTACCCTCCTGACTGTGCTGTCTGGTAGAGGCTTATAAATCACAAACGTGGCCAGGCAGAGTCACAAATCCCTTGATAGATCATAGAGATTACATGAGAGTGATGTGGGTCTGTCATTTATCTTTGCAGAAAACCGTCAGCGGCAAGAAAGATCGCTCGCTCTTCCTGTTCACGGACCTGCTGCTTTGCACCACGCTGAAGAGGAAGTCCGGTTCTCTGCGCCGCAGCTCCATGAATCTGTAAGTGTATAAAACGTTAAATGATGGGGGCAGCCCAAGATAAGTCATTGTTGTGTGACAATGGCTGCAGAGCTCCTACTGCCACCTTCAGAGGGCTGCTATTAGTTGGGAATATTTGGGTTGCTTAATTGGGCCGGTCATTGCTCTCAGTCCAGTGCAAACGAGGAGGGGATGGCAGGTACTGCTGTTGCCTTATAAAGCGGATGTGGTGCATTCTGGGAAAGTGCTACTGTATAAATGCTAAATTTCATTTCAAAGCGACCCTGTCAGGTGTCTAAAATGTAAAACCTGCACTCTCCTGCTATAGAAGACATGGCACTCTCACTGCACTCGGGGCCCATTCCTCTCACCTTTCCTCTGTTTCATCTTGGGAAAACTCTTTGGAATTCAACATTTCTGGGATGGTTGGATACCGGTTTCCCCTGCAATGTGCTGCCACTTTGCTCTGACTGGTTCCTCCAGTTACAAAGGAAGGAATGACGGCACTGCGGGGAACATAGGCATCTGACTTGTAATAAGAACTATCTTGCTAAAACTCACTTTCGGCTTCCATTTCAACACCAGTCCATTGGAGCCCGCGGCCGGTCCTGGACACTGTAATGAGACAAGTAAGGCCTCATTCACACTGGAATCAGCCCGCACGTACAGATCCGTGCTGCGTGCAGGGCCGTATCGGGCAGCTCCCGGGAAGGACAGGTGCTGCGTGTCATTTAGTACATAGACCCTGTCCTTCTCTATGGGACTACGCGGCCGTACGCCCCCCTACGCTCATCCGCCCTGCACGTCTGTGTGCTGTCATACGCTGACAGGATGGATCCTGTCTGCGTCCGAGCCAGGAAACTCGAACCCCTATGGACCTGCACTTGAGGTGAGCGTACGGCCGTGTAGTCCCATAGAGAAGGACGGGGGCTGCGTACTAATCACACGCAGCACCTGTCCTTCCCGGGAGCTGCCCGATGCGGCCGTGCACGGAGCTGTATGTGTGGGACGTTTCCAGTGTGAATGAGGCCTAAGACGTGACCCCTGTGTAAGCTTCGACATTGAGCTTACACAGGGTTTGAACTCCCGGCTCGGAATAATAAACAGAGTGGTGGGAGAGCCCGGTGAAAGGTGACACATAAAATATATAGCCAAAAGTTTGTTGTCACCCCTCCAAATGATTGAGTTCAGGTGCTCCTTGTGAAGGGGATTGTTAATCCAACAGCATAGAAAGACATTTTAGAAAATTGTGAGAATTCCACCTTGTGGTAACAGTTTGGTGAAGGTCTTCTTCTCCTCCAGTATGACTGTCGCCTATGTACATAGCTAGCTCCATAAAGACATGGGGGAATTCATCAAGACTAGGGCAAACAGAATCTGGAGCAGTTGCCCATGGCAACCAATCAGCATCTTTCTTCAGTTTACTCAGGTAAGATTTGAAAATGAGAGAGGGAAGCTGATTGGCTGCAGTGCAAATCTGCTCCAGATTCTGTTTGCTCCAGTTTTGATAAATTCCCCTCATGGTGTGAAGAGTTTGGTGTGGAGGACTCAAATGGCCTGGCCAGAGCCATGACCTCAACCCTACTGAGCACCTTTTGGATGAATTGGAACTCCAATTATGAGCCAGTTCTTCTCATCTAACATCACAAATGCTCTTCACCCCTTTCTGCCTCCACCCCTCTCCTGGTCTGTAAGTGGAGCTTAATCCCGAAGCACCTTCATCTGTTTGCTTGGCCGCAAATAGACTTTGCAATCATATCATTACTGTGATTGGCTGTCACAGTGATCACGTGACTGGCAACACATTCTCCTGGCTCCTGATCATTGCTAGATCACCGGGACCTATCTGGTGACAGTGCGGGGCGCAATTAGGCGCAAAATAGGTACTCGTATATGTGGCAGCACGGCGTTACGGCCCCCTGCAGTTCTGCTACGTCCTACAGCCAGCAGGAAGGAGTTACTGATATGAAAATGTTGACTCTTCGTCAATAATCAACGTTTAATCCTTCATCTCCAGGCAGTGACTGGAGCGCAGCTTTTGTTCATGATTACACACTGATGGGTTTAGAGGCTTAATCACTTTAGTTGGCCAATGTTTCAGTAAGCGCAGGCAAAGAAAAGGATCACAATTGTCCCCTTCCTGCAGTAAAACTCAGTGTTGCTGCGTGACAATGCATTTTATGTAGAAATCCAAAGCTTTGCTATGGGGCTCGCTGACATTTATGTTCTTCCGTTTAGTGCATTTGTAAGGGGAAGCTATAAGGGCCCATTCATAGCTACATGAGCTACAATGTCTATGCAGAAATGTGATTGAAAGTCTATATAAAGTCCAAATGTTTTTTAGCCTCTGTCTGTTTTTTTTTTTATTGCTGGCTGTGTCCCCATTGGGTCTTCTTTTGTCCTGGTGACCTTTATCTCAGGGACAGAAGATCTCAGGGAAAGGCATTTTCCTCCCCTGAGATGATGGACATGGTTACATGTCCTAGTCACATGTGCCAGAGTTCCAGGAAGTAAAGGAAGATGGATTCATCTGCCCTTAGTAAATATGGCCACTGAAAAGAATGGGGAGGAAAAGAAAAATAAGATATGCAAAGAATAAAAAGCGGCAACTATCTAGAAGTAAGTGTTTGTAGATTGTCATTACTAAACATTTCTAAAGGTGTGTTTGTTGTCATTTCAAAGATATGGGTAAAGTTTCATTGGAAAATATTCCAATGGGCACAAGAGTCTGAGAGGGGATTTTCCCTCCCTTTGTCTCCTGGACAGGAAGGAAAAGCTACCAAACAGGGCACAGAAAAAAAAACCGACAGGGGCTCCAATTATTTTCTACTCCATCCCAAAAAGGTTTTGGCTTTAGATACATTTTAATGCTTTTGCCATGTGCACTAAGTACGTAGCCCTGGTGATGGTGTGAGTCATTGTGCCCTCTGGTGGTCTGTTTTGGTACTGCAGCTATAACAATGTCTTGCGTTTCAGATACACAGCGGCCAGTGTGATTGACATCTCCAGCAAGTACAAGCTGCTCTGGAAACTGCCCCTGGAAGACGTGGATATTGTCAAAGGTTTGCTCCCGAATGTCCCTGTTATACGCACCCTTCCACATGTACCAACATTCCCACCATAAATAATAGCTCATGCTTATTTTCAGAAGTAGCTCCTTGCACTTGTATATAAAAACCTTTTACAGGTCCTGCGGCTATGTGCAGCAAGTTCCTAAGGAACTGTGGCAGTGCATGCTGGGACCTGCAGTTCTATAATGCGTGATTCTTCCTTCATCAATGCATGCTGCTAACCAAACCATAGCTTGATATAGACACATGTACCAGGTCTCATAGTTAAAGCTGAGCTACATTAAATTGCATAAATACACATATGACAACATATAGAAGCTGTGTGACCTGCCAAAGATGTATTTACATCCATCAAGTCCATCCAGAAACCAAAACACACAGCACAGCCTTGTATGGCTGGGCAGAAGACCTGATTTTCCTCTGCTGCAGATAAATAATACTTACAGGTCTTGTCCCTCCCCCAGTCTGTGACTGGACAGTGAATGGAGAAGCAGAAGACTGATGAGCTCATCTCTCTGTCACACTGCTCTCTCCTCCTATCGGCTCACTTCTTGGCACATGAGCACTACAGTACATCTAATTGGATGTTTTTCGGGTGGTCAGCAAAATCATTTGTTTAATCTTTTAACGAGTGCGTTGAAGGGCACCTGTCATTAACCTCCTTAGCGGTATTCCCGAGTGTGGCTCGGGGTTAATTTTCTGTGCCATAAATGGTAACCCTGAGCCACACTCGGGAATACCCAGCGCGTCTCTTACCTTCTTCCTCGAGCAGCTCTGTGTCCTCCATCTTCCGGGTTCCGTCCCTTGCGAGCGTCCGCGTTGCAGGGGGGGCGGAAGCGGCGGGAGATTTAAAAGTAAATAACGAAGAAAAAAAAATAGAACCAAAAAAGGAAAGAAAAAAATCATACCGCCAGGGAGGTTAAAACTGGCACTCCACTTGATCCAACCTTGGCATGCATTAAAAATGTTTTCCTCCAAACCCCATCATGTGACTTAGCCCTCGTTCACACCTGACCGTTTTGTAGGGCGTTGTACGCTCGACGAACGCTCTACAAAACGGTCAAAAATATAAATTGCATTGTAGTCAATGCCCTCGTTCCCACCTTGCCGTATTTCTGCCCGTCCCTAACGCCCTACAAAACGGCCCACGCCTGAAAAGGTCCCGGGACTACTTTGGGCCGTTTTGTAGGGCGTTTTCCATTGGGGCCTTTTGTCTACAGTTAGATGGACCGGGACTTGTAGTGAGGATCTGCAAGACACATCCACTGTGCAGCTCTATGGATACAATGAAGGGAAGTTATCAAAACTGGAGCAGCTGTGCATGGCAACCAATCAGCTTCCCTCTTCAGTTTGTTCAGTTAAGATTTGAAAATGAAAGAGAGAAGCTGATTGGTTGCCATGCACAGCTGCTCCAGATTTTTTCTGCTCCAGTTTTGAAAATGTTTCCCAATGTTATTATGTGAGAAGTATGGCTGCCTCGAACTATTACATATTCAAGCTTGTTTTCAATACATTAACCCAGAGTGATGAGACTGTATACTTGTCATATATTTCTTTCACATGTGAACATGAAATACTTTGTTTCTGTGTATATGTTGTGTTGTATATGTACAGGGTGCAGCCGTATTTACTCATTACATATGCAGGCTCTGCTTCCTGTTTAGTAGTACTGCACAATGACTGCGGTGTGCTTCTTTCACTCATTGCAGTGCTATGGGTCAGGTCTGACTGGTTGAAAGTGCAAACTTTTTATGAGGCTAACGCAGCTTTGTTCTAGACATGTAAGCTGCAGAAAAATTCGGTTTGGTTATTTCGGGACTCGGATCCGGAATTCAATTCGGTTTGGGTTTCGGATTCGGACGAAATCCAAATTTTCGTTAGATTCGGATGAGCTTACGAATATTCGTTGCGAATACCACAGAAAACCATATACAGATATTAATACTAAAGCTGAGGCTCCCAGACCCGAATGGTATGCGGGATCCAAATGTCTGAATTGCATTGGGGAGCTCCTGAATGCCATTCGGGTCTGGGAGCCTCAGCTTTAGTAATATATGTATATGGCTCACAGACCCAAATGGCATTCAGGAGCTCCCCAATGCAATTCAGAAATTTGGATCCCGGATGCCATTCGCGTCTGGGAGTCATGTAGATCAGGGGTGGGCAAACTGTGGTCCTCCGGCTGTGGTGGAACTACAAATCCCATGAGGCATTGCAAGATTCTCATAGTCACGCAGACGCCACGGAGCGATGGCGGCCTCGATAAAAGCTGAACTCTGGGCAGATGTAAAAGACACAGATTGATGCAGCTTTGTATTCATTTAATACATCATTAAATATTAGACATGTAAGCTGCGGAAAAATTTGGTTTGGTTATTTTGGGATTCGGATCCGAAATTCAATTCGGTTCAGGTTTTGGATTCGGACCAAATCCAAATTTTCTTTAGTTTTGGACGAGTGTATGAATATTTGTTGCAAATATCACAGAAAACCATATACAGATATGAAAACTAAAGCTGAATCTCCCAGACCCGAATGGCATTTAGGATCCAAATTTCCGAATTGTATATGCCATTCGGGTCTGGGAGCTTTAGTATTATATGTATATACTGTATATGGCTCCCATGTTGCCGTAATAAAAATTCGGAGGCATTCAGAGCCATTTGGATGCATTAAACCGAAAACACATCTGATTGGCCAGAAAAGTCACATGTCCGATTCAGTTTAGTTTTTGAACGAAATTCGGACGGGATCCAAAATTCGGAAACAGAAGTTCGGTTTCTGACTCATTCGGACGCATTGGGATTCGGAAATTCGTATGAGTCCGAATTTCAGAAAATTAGTCCGAAATTTGATTCGGAACGAAACGAATCGCACATGTCTACTTTGTGCACTAGTCAGGGATGCTGAAAACATCCCCTCATGTACGGACCTCTAGGAGGAGCATTTACAAATTTGATGGTAACTGGTAAAAACAAATATGGAACAGCCGGCATGTAAAAAAAAGCCGAAATTACTTTAGAGTAGAATTGCATTTCCTGAAAATACACAGAAATTTCCCTTGACAACCCAACTTCTGCGAAAATGTTTTTGGTTGATTTGAGGAAGGGCTCCACGCTGTGTAAGGTGTGTGAATTCATTTGGTAGGTTTTCATTCACTTCCTGTGTGGTCACCGGGACAGGAAGTAAGGGGTATCTCTTTACTTTTCTTTAGTAGAGTGGGGAGGAGTTATTTTCTGTCAGTGTCCCTGTTGAGGACAGTCTTACTTCTTGTAGGGTCAGTGGAGTGCAGAGGATCTGACCCAGGGGTTGGCAACTCCGGTCCTCTGTTGGTAGAACTACAAGTCCCATGAGGCATTGCAAGACTGACGGTTACAGTCATAACTCCCAGAGGCAGAAGCATGTTGGGATATGTAGTTAAAGCACAGCTGGGGGGCTGGAGTTGCGCACCCCTGGTCTAACCCCTCACCACTCGGTCCCAAACTAAAAATATAGTGTTGGCTGGCCTTGACATTTAAGCACTAGAATGTAGTTAGTTATACTTTACCCCAAAAAGTTGTGTTAAACCATCAATACTAATATATAGTCTTATTCCTCAGGGACATCCCAAGCCTCAAACCGAGACAGTGTTCAGAAGATTATCGGCCGGCTGGACGAAGATCTAAGCACCATGGGGCAAATCAGCAAACTGTCCGAAACCCTCAGCTTCCCTCACCAGGTGGGAGATATGTTGACCATTAAACAGGAGCTTCTTCCTTTCATTTTGGGTAGAGTTTAAGCCACTCATTCACACGGGTAATGGCCGGCCCGTACAGGTTCAAGCTGCGTGCATATGGGGCAGCTCCTGGGAAGGACAGGCGCTGCGTGTGATTTGTACACAGCAGCCTGTCCTTTTGTACGCCCCCATCCGCTCACCCGCCCTGGACGTCTGTGCGGGTGTCTGTACTCGTACGCTGACGGCATGGATCCTGTCTGCGTCCGAGCAGGGACACCCGTACGGGCCTGCACTTGGGGTGAGTGTAGGGCGGCGTACGGCCGCATATGCCGATAGAGAAGGACAGGCTGCTGAATACGAATCACACGCAGCGCCTGTCCTTCCCAGGAGCCGCCCCATATGGCCGTGCACGCAGCATGGATCTGAACGAGCCGGCCGGTACACGTGTGAATGAGGGCTAAGACACAGTGACCATTAACAAACAGTTTGTCCAACATTTTGGAGAAGTCTCTGCACCACCTATTGATCCTTACTTCTTGACTTGGATTGGTCAGCATGTTGATGGCATACATACGATGAGACTACATCTGCCACCTATGCAGAATGCACAGGAGAATCCACTCCCTCTAAGCTACATCACACCTTCTATCGCACAGCCGCACTTCCTCCACCCCTATACAGCAGGTCCAAGCCTCCATACAGACCTGAGGCTGGAGGTAAATATTGATAGGGCTCATGTATTGCACCCAAAATGCACTGATTGTGGGTACAATACACTGCAGGAATCAATGCAAACAAAAAATAGGAATTCCCTTTGATTATAGGATCGCTGTTGCTACATTTTTGCAAAAAGGTGGAGTAACGCTTTAAAAAATATCATATATGCATATTGCAGGATTTGTAATTCTGTCCAACCAGTTTTGTGATCTGCGCTGCTCTGCTGCACTCGCACACAACCAAGCAGGTGACACACTTATTAGCTTTCGCTGATCTTTTTATTTGGACATTGACGTAGCATCACCACCTCTGTCCAGTTAGCAGGGAGGTGACTCTGCGGAAGTCGTAGAACTGAGCCAAGAAGTAGCAGAGGGATTGTTCTGCCTGTGCAATGTGGCAAAGATATGTAAATCAGTAATTGTTCCTTCTTCTTATCGGGCCAACATACCACATCCATCATTTATCAGAGATTTAATATTTAAAGACATTTGAGATAATGATACATACACCTTTTTATATAAAAAGTTTATTATCCAAAATTTCAATAAATCTTTATTTTAGAAGAGAACTAAGCCAACTTTTTTGGCTAAAAGTGACATTAAACCCTCAGATTTTTTAACATAAACCAATACTGTAATGTGTGCCTTATTGTAATCCATGGTAGTTTCCCTTCTCTTTGCTGCTCTTCCTTTTAAATCTGTATCTGTTCTCATGCTGGGCAGAACTTCTGTTTTGCAGCAGACTTCCTTGTCTCTGGAATGGATACACGGTGTCTGTGTGTAAGTTTGTAACCTGAGCCAGCACTACAGGAAGAGGCACTCAGCTGCAAAGAGAAGTTCTCACCCAGCATGAGAAGACATGAGGATTTAAAAAGAAAGAGCAGCAAAGAGAAGGGAAACTACCATGGATGACAATAGGGGAAAAACATTACAGTATTTGTTTATGTTAAAAAATCTGAGGGTTTAATGTCACTTTTAAGTCCTCTTTTGGGTATCAGGAGTACAATTACCAATGTCCTCCTGTGACCCAAAGTCAGCATCTAGCAGGCTACTGCCCTATTTGCTGGCAGCTCAGAGCCGTGACGCAACAATATTGTCGAGATCCACCCTGCTGCTTGATTGACAGCTGGCTCTGCCTCTCTAGTGCCAGAGCCAGCTGTGGCCGCCCCCTACCCTGTCTGTCCCTCCAATGAGAAGGGATGAGGGTGGATCCCTGCGGATACTGGTGATTGAAAGTCACCGCTCTCTGCAGGGAGAAGACCGTGAGCTGAGCAATCAACGGTGTGTGATCGCTCGGCTCTCGATTTTATAGAGCCGGCATGTGACACTTGTATTGGAAAGAGTACATTTTACTCTCCCAATGCTTCTCCTTTTAAAGTCATTGTCCATCCATTATCCAGCCAGCATTTCTGAAGAACAATTTGTTGATTTTAAGAAGCACCTGATGCTTGTGGTGAGACTTTCAACCTGCAGATATGCTCGTGATCAAGTCTCATTTGTGAGGGCATTTTATTCCAAATGTACTTTTTAAAAAGTGTTACCTGCACTATCCTGTGCGCTCAGGTAATGGACAGATAGTTGTCCAGTCGTCTGATGCTTGAATTGGTTGCATTGCTTACAACTTGTACTGTATGTAGCTGTCCTTACAAGTAAAGCCCTTTCTGTACTTGGATTTATTTTTAGGCCTCGTTCACACCAGATTCAGTGCGTTCCAGCCCAATTCTGGCCAGAACGCACTGCATAGGATTGCAGCCGGCTCACTATGCTGTGGGGCAGGAGGGCGCAATGAGATCGGCCGCACGTGATCACAAGGCACATAATGCCTGCGGTCCGGTCTGAACAAAATGCTGCAAGCACTATTTTGATCGGACCAGACCGCAGGCATAATGTGCCTTGCGATCCCGTGCGGCCGATCGCATTGCGCCCTCCTGCCCCACAACATAGTGAGTCTGTCCACAGTGCGACGCAGTGCGTTAGGGCCAGAACGAGCCCTTAAAGTTGTTTTTGTCATGTGAATCGGCACCTGATTAGCCAACCGCTGTCCTTATTATATTTGGCCTGATTATCGCAGCTACAAACACGCCAAAGTGCTTGCTCCATACGTGTAAATATTTTCTTCTATGTGCCGGCAGGACGGATAAACAAGAGATTTGTTTTGCTCACTAACCGTAATAGGGCAGCGCGGAGAAACACAAGTCAAAAATATAATTAGAATTTTGTCTGATTCCGGTGTACATCACAGCGTCTAGACACAGCCGGCACAACACATAACAAGCGTGTTGTTGTCACAGAAGATCAAAAACAATGTAGATTAGTTCGGCACAGGGTTTGCTGTATGTAAATCTGTACAAACGCGGCAGGAGTACACCAATGATTTCACACAACCCGATAGCTGTCAGCTGCTAAGGTGTCACTTTTTATATAACGAGCCATTAACATGACGGAACCATTAAAATAACTTTTAGGTCTTAGGGCCCCCCAAGATAGGTCTCCAGTGGGAGAAGGACGCTCTTACATTATTGGTCAATGGAAGAAGATCCTCTTTACATTAGTGGGCATTGGAAAAATAACCCCTTTACTCTATTGGTCAGTGGAGAAGTTCCCCCGTACATTAGAGGTCTGTGGAGAAGGCCCCCTTCAGATTGGTGGTCAGAGGAGAGGAGGCTCCTTAGATGGGTCTTCAGTGGGAGAAGGACGCTCTTACATTATTGGTCAATGGAAGAAGATCATCTTTACATTGGTGGTCATTGGAAGAAGAGCCCCTTTACATTGGTGGTCAGTGGAGAAGTTCACCCTTTTAGATTGGTGGTCAGTGGGGAAGAGCCCTCTTAGATTGATGGCCAGAGGAGAGAGGTCCCCTTAGATAGGTCTTCAGTGGGAGAAGGACACTCTTACATTATTGATCATTGGCAGAAGATCCCCTTTAGATTGGTGGTCAGTGGGGAAGAGCCCCCTTAGATTGATGGCCAGAGGAGAGAGGTTCCCTTAGATTGATGGCCAAAGGAGAGAGGTTCCCTTAGATTGATGGCCAGAGGAGAGAGGTCCCCTTAGATAGGTCTTCAGTGGGAAAAGGACCCTTTTACATTATTGTTCATTGGAAGAAGAGTCCCTTTACATTGGTGTTCAGTGGAGAAGTTCCCTCTCACACTGTGGTCAGTAAGGGGACCTAGAAGAATGCGCATTGGGAAGAATGCCCTGCTTACAGATGGCCAAAAAAATCATTGATTTTTGTGCTTCCTCATTTAAGAGGCAGAAATTGTTCCAGGAACCCCCTAGAGACCTCTGGAGGTAGTCTAGGATTCCACAGAACCCTAGTTCAGAATGTCTATAGACCTTTTCCTACAAGAGCTTGCAAAGCCAGTCCTAAATTAGGAGCCATTTCACCAAATTTTCTATAAACTTGCAGCTGGCTTAGTGCCCTTTTTTTTTGCAGTTTTTGTTGTTTTGGCTATATGAAGCCCATGTAGGGACAAAATGAGAAAGTCTCTTGAAAGCTTACCCTCAACCCACTTGTATTTAACCATCAGGAAACCCAGTCTGAGAAAAACCATGCATTGCAGGCATGCATGTAGACAGGAAGTGGCTTCAAAGAGGCTGCAGACAATCAGCGGCACAGATGCAACAAAGCGTGAAATAAAATTATTTTATTAAAATAAAAATGGTAGTTGTTTATAATACACAGTGCTATAGCAAATGAAACGTCCTCCATCTAGGGTTTACATCTACTTCAGGAATGGCCAAACTCCGGCCCTCCAGCTGTGGTGAAACAACAAATCCCATGAAGCATCTCTCTCCGGGAGTCATGTCTGGCTGTGAGAATCTTGCAAAGCCTCATGGGATTCGTAGTTCCACAGCTGGGGGGCCACAGTTTGGCCATGCCTGATCTACTTGAATGGTGAACGGCTCTTAATGACTAGACAGAGGTATAGCATTGTATTTTTCTTTGTGTAACACATTCTTGTTTTGGCAGAGTCTTGATGATGTCATCAAAGACATGATGGCCTCCGTGCATCGTGAGCTGGCAGAGAAGCAGTCCCTCTCCTACTCAATGTCTTTCCCACCAAACAAAGTGGAGCTGACAACCACCAAGGCTGATGGCACCGACTCTTTCATATTCGAATTCGGCACCCCAGACGCTAGGCTGCACTTCGAGCAAGCCTTCGAGGACGCCAAGAAGAAGCTGGGTAATTCATAATGCCCTACATGAACCTACACACATAGAGGGTGGTTAACATGTTTTCCGGCTCATTCATTCATTGTTCGGTGGAATTCTCTGTACTAAATCACACTGGCACACTGTATCAGGTTCTCTTGCTTGCCCACTTCTTCCTCACTCACTGATACTTCTGTGGGTGACACTCCCCTGCTGCACCATTCATATGCTGGAGCCCTTGAAAATGCCTGGTACTTCCAAATATTGAGGGACATGCAACCTCCTCTTCCTCTCTCAGAATGCAGTGCTGAGCACCCAGTTGCCAGATCTGATTACTCCTGTGTAAGCTTCGACAAGGATTACACTCAGAGTTGCTGGGGAGCAAGGAAAAAAGATGAGGTGGGCTACAAGGGAACCTGTTAGCACTGAACAAAGGACACATGGTTTTTAATGTCCGACTAAATGTTTATATCAGCTAAATAGATTCCAGGTATTTCAACACAAAAGGGGTGTAATACAGTTACATTTCTTTAGAAAGCAGCCACATCCTTAGTAGAAAAGCCTACCACCTGCCAGAATGCTAGAGAAAGACCATTGCTGTCTGTGTGGAAGCTGTAGTCTCTCTGCAGAGGTCCCACAAGCCCCTTGCTAAATCAGACCTATAGCCCTGCAGTTAGCAGGGAGCATGATCTTTGCCGTTTGGAGAGCTCTAGCTCTGACTCCGTGTGTGGCACATTTGATCTCTGCAGTGGGACCAAAAAAATGCTACAAAGAGACAAATCATGTGAAGTATTTATAACCAAAGCACTCTAATGCACCCTTCCGATTAGACTTCTAAATGACAGACCTCAGACGCACACTCCTATCTTTTTACTACTGTGATATGTCCAGTGCTGGCCATTGTTAAGGTGTTGTGGTTATCCATAATCCAAATGCATATGTACTTGACCTTTGGGTAATAGGTGTCCTGTACTGAGCTTGGCACCAGCCTTTGGGATGACCATTATGTTCTGGAGCTAGACCTGGCACATGCATGTGGATTCGGAGTATAGACTGCAAAAGTGCTGCAGCAATTACAAAAACGTTGTACAAAAATCTGCAATCCTTCAATTTCTTCTTTTTGTTACTTCCCCAGATCTCTGATTCTTGTCTTCTCTTCACAGCCACCAGCAAGAACCGCCTGGACCCAGAGTTCTTGAAGGCTATCCCCATCATGAAGACGCGCAGTGGGATGCAGGTGAGCTTAAAGTAGTAATTCACTTGATGCTTGCTTGCTTTTTCCTTTCCTGCTTCCTGAAGTGAAGAATCCCAAGAACTTTTCAGTCTAAAAATGGAAGGAACACAGTCCACCAATCAAGAGCCTGCAGAGGAAGAGGCGTGCACCTTGGCTGCAGAGAGCCTTATGCATCCCCCACCCCCGCCAAAAACCTCTCTTCCTCCCCTCACTCTCCCTGCTCTTCAACCCCCCCTCCCCCCCCCCCCCTACTCTTCTCTTTAATTTTGCTTCCAGATGTATTCACAAGTATCCAGAAAATAGAAGAAAATAGTAAATGAAGAACAAGGAATCAAATGTAGTAATTGTTCTTTGATGTCTCCTTCAGATACAGGCGTAAAAGTGCCTACAGCTCTGTGTAAAAATTGTTTTGAAGTATTGACACTAAGAAGAAAATGTTTGCTATGTATACAAATTGATAAACTGTCACAGAGGTGATAACGGCCCAATAATGATTTGCTAGTGCTGAGTATAGTCCACCTGTCATTTTTACATGCAATGGTTACTGCGCATTATGATAGGGTGCTATGTTGCCAGTGTGTCATTATTGGGGAACCTCCACTATTGTTAGCGTGTCATTATTGTGGGACCTCCACTGGTGCCATTGTGTCATTGGGGAACCTCCACTATTGTTAGCGTGTCATTATTGTGGGACCTCCACTGGTGCCATTGTGTCATTGGGGAACCTCCACTATTGTTAGCGTGTCATTATTGTGGGACCTCCACTGGTGCCATTGTGTCATTGGGGAACCTCCACTATTGTTAGCGTGTCATTATTGTGGGACCTCCACTGGTGCCATTGTGTCATTATTGTGGGACCAACTGTAGTTTGTGTGTCATTATGGTGGGACCTGCCCCAGCATCAGTGTATCATTATTGTGGGACCTCCCCTAGTGTCAATGTGTATTATTATTGTGAGACCTCCCCTAGTGTCAGTGTGTGTCATTATTGAGGAAACTCCGTTTGTATCTGTGTGTGTCATTTATTGTGGGACCTCCCCTGGTGTCGGTGTGTCATTATTGTGGGACCTCCCCTAGTCTCAGTGTGTATCATTATTGTGGGACCTCCCCTAGTGTCAGTGTGTATTATTATTGTGGGACCTCCCCTAGTGTCAGTGTGTATCATTAATGTGGGACCTCCCCTAGTGTCAGTGTGTATAATTATTGTGGGACCTCCATTGGTGTCAGTGTGTATCATTATTGTGGGACCTCCCCTAGTGTCAGTGTGTATCATTAATGTGGGACCTCCCCTAGTGTCACTGTGTATAATTATTGTGGGACCTCCCCTAGTGTCAGTGTGTATCATTATTGTGGGACCTCCCCTAGTGTCAGTGTGTATCATTATTGTGGGACCTCCCCTAGTGTCAGTGTGTATCATTATTGTGGGACCTCCCCTAGTGTCAGTGTGTATCATTATTGTGGGACCTCC